AGGGTGAGGTTCAATAAAGAACCATTATTAACAAGGAACCAAAGAACTAATCGTAAGCGTCAGAAATCATAATGATCAACGACTAAGATTGGACGCACATACATTGGATTATACCAAAAACTCACATCTTTACTAAAAAAACTCATCTTTTTTTTTCGTTAAATTTTTTTTAGGCCATGTTTTTTATCGAAAAAAAAACAAATATACAATTATTCATGATTTTTCGTCCTCTTTCCATAGAGATCCAAGTTGATATATAAAAAACAAACATTTTTTTTCGAAAAAACTCACTTCGTTTTGTTGTTTTTTCTTCAATATTTAAGTTTATTTTTATCCAAAAAAACTAACTATAAATCTTAATTTTTTGTCCTTTATTAATTAACATCAACATCAACAACAACAACAACAACAAAAAAAAAAAAAAAAAGCCTCGATGAGTTCAAACTGTAATATTTCAATTTTGACATTCACAATGTGAATCTGACTTACTATTTCAACTCTTTGATCATTTACAAATTAATTTAATGAAATTTACATATGAATTTAAATATATTTTCATGTAACTTTATAATATTTTAACGTTTTGATTACTAATAAATTAGTTTTTAAAATCAACAAATGGATTTATTCACATTGTGAATCTGAACTGTATATAATTTAGTTTTCAGAATTTACAATGTGAATCTGACCAGATTCGCAATATGAATATGAGTAGATTACCAATGTGAATCTGAGCAGATTCATAATGTGAATTTAAACTGAAAATTTGTTTTTTTTTTTTATGAATCTATGTTTAAAGAGTACCAAAAATTTTGAATTTTGATATATTTATTAAATTTTTTCGATAAAAAATAGGTTTTAACTTTTCTAAAAACAAATGAATGAATTGGGCTTTTCTGGAAAAAAAAAATCATTATTTTGTATATCAATATGGATCTCTATGGAAAGACAACGGAAAATCATGAACAATTGTATATTCGCTATTTTTTTTTGAAAAAATAAACATGGCCTAAAAAAATTAAACGAAAAAAAAAGAAATGTGTTTTGTTATAATCCGGTGATTGCTTTAAATTTCGATCTTTTATATTGGTTCCTTAGTTCCTTGTTTTATTAATAATGGTTGTGTATTGAACTTTTCTATATATATATATATATATATATATATATATATATATATATGTTCTATGGAAAACAAAAAAACCCTAAAAATACATTAAAAAAAATACTTAGATATCACAAATCTTTTTTTGATTTTATATTATGAAAATTCGCAACTTTTTTTACATTTTCGTTGAAATTTTTTTTTGAAAAAAAACCAAAAAAAATCGATTTTTTTTTCAACGAAAATGTAAAAAAAGTTGCGATTTTTATAATATAAAAAGTCAAAAAAAA